CCGCCGCCCCCATGTCCCTTCTTCCCCCCGCCTGTAACCAGCGCAAAGCTGGGAGGCTGAGGAGAGTCACCTGCTTTAGTGGGAGACCTAGTCTCTAGCATTTAAATTACCTATTTCTCAAGGTCAAGGCTGAAGGGACAGAGGATAGAGGTCAGAGAGACGTGGGGGTTAAGTGCCCCATCATGACAACATGATCAGTGGCTTGAAATTTGCTGTTGCCTATAAAGCATCGGTTCTCAACCTGTGGGTCTCGACCCCTTTGGGGGTCGAACGACCCTTTCACAGGGGTCACCTAAGACCATCGGAAAACACATATATAATTACATATTGTTTTTGTGATTAATCACTATGCTTTAATTATGTTCAACTTGTAACAATGGAATTGGGGGTCACCATAACATGAGGAACTGTATTAAAAGGTCGCGGCATTAGGAAGGTTGAGAACCACTGCTATAAAGTAAGCCCCAAGTGCTTTAGTCGAGTTGGCTAACGGTTATATATTGAAAACGAGAGGACAGACCTTGAAATATTAACAGGGTTATCCCTGAGGCTAGGGGGGATTTGTTTATTTTTCTTTATTTTCTACATTATCTACAATAAATCCTTTTATAGAAAGGAAATAAATATTTTTAAAATTGGAAAGGGTTCAAAGCCAGCTAATAGGAAAAAGACCCCGTGCTAGGATGTAACATTTCCACTCAAGAGGCCACCAGGTCCTGCCCCTGGGATTCAGATTCCAGTAAGTGGGGCCTGCAGGGAGCCGTGTCTACAGTGGCCTCAGTCTGCCTGGGCCCAGGAGTCGATATCGGGCTTGAACCATGGCTCTGGCTGGGGCTCTGGTGGGTACGTGGGCTCCCTGGGTTCTTTCCTTACTTCTTGCCCAGCTGGATTCACTCCTGCTTGCGAAAAGCTGACAAAAACAAGGATAACAAGATGAGCTTCAAGGAACTGCAGAACTTCCTGAAGGAGCTCAACATCCAGGTGGACGACAGCTACGCCCGGAAGATCTTCAGGGTGAGGCAGCAGGGAGCCCTGGCCGTCGGGTCCTTGGCCCTGGGCCTGGGCCAGCGCTGAGCCTGCCCACGGGGCTGTCCTGGCTTTGCAGGAATGTGACCGCTCCCAGACAGACTCCTTGGAGGACGAGGAGATTGAGGCCTTCTACAAGATGCTGACCCAGCGGAAGGAGATCGACCGCACCTTCGAGGAGGCTGCCGGCTCCGGGCAGACCCTGTCCGTGGACCAGTTAGTGACCTTCCTGCAGCACCAGCAGCGGGAGGAGGCGGCCGGGCCTGCCCTGGCCCTCTCCCTCATTGAGCGCTACGAGCCCAGCGAGACTGGTGAGGGCCACCCCCGGCTGGGAGACCCCTGGGGACACTGCAGCCCCAAATAGGGAGCTGCAGGAACCGGGGTGCCTCAGGACCCGGCCGGTATTTGCCGGCCCATGAAAGCAGGCAGACGGCAGACAGGGCTCGAGCATCACTACCTGCCTCAGTTCCTCCTTCAGGGGGTTTTGAGGACCCCTCTCCCAGGAAAGAGGAGAGGAGACTGGGCAAGCAAACACTGTCTCTGCTTCCCTCTGGATGCCCATCCTGGGCCCACCTTTGAGACCCGGCCCTGTCCTGGAGGGGGCTCCGGGGCGCAGGCACAGGGCCGGAGGAGGTGAAGTCCTGTCCTCAAGGCCTCCCAGCGTGGGGGACAGAACAGGAGAAGACAGGGCCCCGGAGGTGGCTGCGGGTGGAGGGCTCTGACGGGTCCCCGCCTCCCTCCCAGCCAAGGCACAGCGGCAGATGACCAAGGACGGCTTCCTCATGTACCTGCTCTCGGCCGACGGCAGCGCCTTCAACCTGGCGCACCGGCGGGTCTACCAGGACATGGGCCAGCCGCTCAGCCACTACCTGGTGTCCTCCTCGCACAACACCTACCTGCTGGAAGACCAGCTCACCGGGCCCAGCAGCACCGAAGCCTACATCCGGTGGGGCATCCCGTGGAGGCCGGGGGCGGGGCTCCGGCGGGGGCGGGGCTCCGGCGGGGGCGGGGCTCCGGCGGGGGCGGGGTCCTAGCGCCTCTCCCCCTACAGGGCGCTGTGCAAAGGCTGCCGCTGCCTGGAGCTGGACTGCTGGGACGGACCCAACCAGGAGCCCATCATCTACCACGGCTACACCTTCACCTCCAAGATCCTCTTCTGCGACGTGCTCAGGGCCATTCGGGACTACGCCTTCAAGGTGGCCACACCCCTGGGGGGTGAGGAGGGGAAGGCTAGGGGTGGCCAGCCCCTCCTAATCTGCCTTGGACCGCCAGGCGTCCCCCTACCCCGTCATCCTGTCCCTGGAGAACCACTGCAGCCTGGAGCAGCAGCGCGTGATGGCGCGACACCTGAGCACGACTCTGGGCTCCATGCTATTGGACCGGCCGCTGGAAGGGGTCACCACCAGCCTCCCATCCCCTGAGGTGCACAGTGGGCATGGGGGTGCCCAGAGAGGAGGACAGGGGGACTGGCTGGGAGGCCAGCTGGGTCTTGACCAGCTGCCCCTCCATCCGTAGCAACTGAAGGGGAAGATCTTGCTGAAGGGAAAGAAGCTAGGGGGACTCCTGCCCCCCAGCGGGGAAGGTGGCCCCGAGGCCACTGTCGTGTCAGATGAGGACGAGGCAGCCGAGATGGAGGATGAGGCCGTGAGGAGCCGAGTGCAGCACAAGCCCAAGGTTTGAGGGGAAGCTGTGGGGGGAGGGCATCCCTGGGCCCTCCCCCATCCTCACCCCCCATCGCCGGGTGGGATGGTTGCCTTGTCTCAATTCTCTGTGGCTGCCACTCAGACCCTCTGCCCCCTCTCTGTGTCTGTCTCCCTCTCTCTGTCTCTCTGTGTCTGGGTTTCTGGCTCTCTCAGTGTCCACCTGCCCCCACCTCTGAATCTAACCCGGGCCTCCCCGTGGCCCCCAGGAGGACAAGCTCAGGCTAGTGAAGGAGCTCTCTGACATGGTCATTTACTGTAAGAGCGTCCACTTCCGGGGCTTCTCCAGCCCTGGCAGCCCAGGGCAGGCTTTCTATGAGATGGCGTCCTTCTCTGAGAACCGCACCCTCCGGCTGCTCCAAGAGTCAGGTGAGCCCCCGCCCTGCACCCTGAGGGTGCTGCCCCTGTCTGACCATCCGGGCTGGGGCCAGGGCCAACCTGTCTCCCTCCCCCCCCCCCCAACCCCCGCCTGTGAACAAAGTTAGCATTCCCTGCTGCTACCAGCAGAGCTGGTGGGAGGGACTCAGGCACACCTGAGGCCTCCCTGCCTGACCATCCCGTACCCCCCTCAGGAACCAGCCTTGTCCGCCACAACGTGAATCACCTGAGCAGGATCTACCCTGCTGGGTGGAGAACTGACTCCTCCAACTACAGCCCCGTGGAGATGTGGAATGGGGGCTGCCAGATCGGTATGCACTGGCTGGGGCCAGGAGGAGGCCTGGCTGAGGGCCAGGGACCAGGAGACCGTGGAGACCGGGGCAGGGCCAGATGCAGGAGTGTGTGGGCTCAGGAGCTGGTGATCTCAGTTGGGAACTGTCCCCCTCGTTAGCATTGTAGTTCTTTGAGTTTTAGCACCAGAAATGCAACGTGAGGTTGGTGCAGAGGGTCGGTTGGAGGGCAGGAGGCCTTGCAGTGATACTGGCCCCTGCTTCTGCCTCACCCTGTGTCTCCAAGGCCTCAGTGTACCCTGAGGAGGCTGGGCTCTAGGGCCCCTGAAGCCGACCCACAGCCCGTGACTGCTCTGTCCTACCTGTAGTGGCCTTGAACTTCCAGACACCTGGACCAGAGATGGATGTGTATCAGGGCCGCTTCCAGGACAACGGGGCCTGTGGGTACGTGCTGAAGCCTGCCTTCCTGCGAGACCCCAACTCCACCTTCAACCCGCGTAACCCGGCTCAGGGGCCCTGGTGGACTCGGAAGCGGCTCAACATCTGGGTATGGCCAGCCAGAGAAGGGCCAGGAGCCACGGGCCTCCCTTACCCCTCGGTACCATTCCTCATGCCCATCACCCTTCCGCAGGTCATCACAGGGCAGCAGCTGCCGAAAGTCAACAAGAGCAAGAATTCGATCGTGGACCCCAAGGTGACGGTGGAGGTCCACGGCGTGGGCCGGGACGTGGCCAGCCGCCAGACCGCGGTGGTCACCAACAACGGTACGTGCCGAGGCGGGGCTGGGCCCGGCCGCTGCAGCTGGTGTCCGAGCTGCTGACACGGCGCCTGTGCCCGCAGGTTTCAACCCGTGGTGGGACACGGAGTTCGAGTTCGAGGTGGCGGTGCCTGAGCTGGCCCTCGTGCGCTTCGTGGTCGAGGACTACGACGCCTCCTCCAAGAACGACTTCATTGGCCAGAGCACCATCCCCCTGAACAGCCTCAAGCAGGGTGAGTGTTTGTCCAGGGGAGGGGAGGGCAGGGGGGGAGGGGCAAGGCCTGGCGTCTCTCGGGCGGGGGTGGCTGTCCCTGAAGCATCCTGCCCGAGTGACGGGAACTTTCCTTGTGTGCTCCTTCCCGCCCCCTCCCCTGCCAGGATACCGCCACGTGCACCTCTTGTCCAAGAACGGAGACCAGCACCCATCTGCCACCCTCTTTGTGAAGGTGTCCCTGCGGGACTAGGCGTGGGAGCGGGCCAGGCCTCTGTCCACGGCCCAGGGCAGGGCGGGCGCAGCTGCTCCCAGCCTCGCGCTCAGAGCGGGAGGCCTGCACTGCCTTCGGCTCTGACACACCGTCTGTGCTGCTGCCTCTCCCCGGTCCTAGGAGCTGGCCTGGGCCCTGGATCGGTCCTCACCTCCGTTAAGAACAACACTGCAGCCCTCTCCACCCTCTGGCCGGCCCTCGGTTGAGGGTTTTTATAAAAATCTTAAGACTAAGTTCCGTGGCCTCTTTACCTGCACGCCAGCAAATTCCTGTAAGTGCGTGTGCGTGTGTGTGTGTGTGTGTGTGTGTGTGTCAGAGCCCTGGAACCCCAGCACCTCACTCTCCTCCTTCCCACACTCACACGGTACTGAGGGCGCTGTACTGAGGGCTGCTGGGCAGGAGGGACCAACCAGAAAGAAACCCCTCGTGGAGGAGGGGACAGAGAGGCCACCCCTCCAGCCCCACAGGCCCTTCCCCAGAGGCGGACCTGCTGAGTGACCCAGACGTGAAAGCCCACACACCACACCTGTGAGGGCCACAAGCTTTTATTGATGGGGACGGGGGCTCAGGTTGCTCCGGGGAGTTCCCCGCGGGGCTCAGCCCTGTGCGGGCACTGGCGGCAGCAGGGCCCGGGTTCAGAAGAAGCCGAGCTGCTTTTTCTCCTGCTGCTGCTTCCACTTGGCCATGCTGTAGAACTCCTCCTTGGACTTCCCAAAGACGTCTTTGAACTCAGAGTCCGAGAGATAGAACTGTGGGGGCGGGGGAGGGAGACCCAGGGAAGGGTGTCCCCTGAGCCCAGAATTCTGTCCCGCCCAGAGGTGTCCTCCCAGGGCTCAGGGCTCCCTCTCCATCTCTCCCTGCCCATCA